TGCTTAGATGACAAACAAACTACCCACTAATATAGTGTGCCACCTAAGCATGGTGCTTAGCATAAACTAAGCTTTATAGGCCTAATCACTTGTTACGACATAAAGCTTAAATTGCTTCTTGTATATAGGGCATGTCAATTTGGGGAAGGGGATGGAAATGGATCTGGTTCAAAATTAGCACAGCATAACCGATTACCCAAGCCCAATTATCAAATCACCCGTTATTTTAATTATGCTCAGAATATTTGATACTATTTGTTGAGAATTCAAAGATCACGTATCGCTCGATACCACATGATATGAAACCAACCACCAGATTGAAATGTTGAAGTTATATGACACAATAATAAAGTATTTGATTACAAGCAAAAGAATAAAGAAGACAAGAAAATATGGCAGAGGAATTATGAGATTTTATTGCACCAATAATAATAGAGAAATATACAATTGATTCTAAAGTTCTAATAATCTATTTTCTTACATGATGACATTGTATAGAGAAGATAAATATTTATAGTGAACGTGTAGGGGACGTCCAAACTCTCATAGTAGAGTTCTTGATGAAGTAGGATGCCAACAAACCAAGTCCAAAACAGAAAATGAAAGAAAAACAAGAAAAACCAGAACAGGTACAGGTGGCGTCACGGTGCTGCGGCGTTTTGCCCTTTTTTTTTTTGTTCCAAGTTGTTTTCTCCATCTCGAACTCTTCTTCAAGTCCAATACTAATTTTCAACTCTCAATGAGCTTCCAAAATAGAATTCAACTAGACATAGGACTCCAATGGTATTCCAAACTGAATTCTTCTGGACGTACACTTCAATTAGAATTTTTCAATTACTTCAACGATAAATTCAAGTCACACCTAAATTCTAACATCACCCTATAATTTAAATAAAATAAATGTAAAAATAAAAATAATATATAAGTGAGGTAGTAAGTAGGAAGGAAGATTGTCTCATCTCGTCCCACCTCACTCCCTGCCTTAGGCTGGGATTTGGGTAGGAACGAGGTCCTTTGTCATCCCAAGCTATATCTAATAAATATTGGCAAAGTTTACGGGGCTTTGAAATCATTGTCACGTGGTTAACTTCTTTTATCTCGTTTACTATTATTGCTCTAGCATTTTCAATTATTCATTTTCGGAACTCTACTTTTAAAGTTCTATCTTAGCCGAGAATATTGTAAGCATGCTTTATAGATCGATACCTTTCATTGGAAAATGCACTCTTCATTGACAAATCATCCCAAAAAATAGAGATTGGCCTCATCAACACTTTTGTTAACACCACATCCTACCATAATGGATTGAAAACACTTGTTGGTCCCTCAATGTATGGAAGCATGTCACCTCGATTACCTAACTTTCGTTTGTTGTAAATTAGTAATTAAACTTTGATTTCTATATATTTTTTAGGCATTTAATTTGCTGAGCTAATCGAAATTTAACTTGAAAAACCTGCTAGTGCAATGTTTTTATCGTGGTGTTTGATTAAAAAAAAAAAAATCTTTCAGGTCACCTCAAGTTTTTTTTTTAATCGTTTTTTGATATTTTATTACTGTTGG